AGATAGGGGTAAATAAGAGAGTGATATAGGGCCGGGAGGCTGACTGTGGAGCATAGTACCGTATCTTCGATAGTATGCCTACAGTCTTGGAAATTTCTTAAAAATTTTTGTTTTTATTTGTATGAAATTTGAGTCTATTATCAAGGTGGATTCCTAAGAATTTTCCCTCTGTTAGCTTTGTGATAGGTGATCCGTTTATCATTATGTAAGAGGGACATCTGTATTTCTGTTACCAAACTGAATGAAGTAGTTTTGTCAATGTTTAGTGTAAAGTTTGTTAGTACTCATCCAGGTAGATATTTTCTGTAATTGGGTATTTACAGTATTGGCTACGTGACTGGGCTCGGGTGGGAGAAGACGTATGTTGTGTCATCACAAATAGTGGGGGTTTGAGTAATTGAAAAGACATTTGGTAGGTCATTTATGTATAGGAGAAAGAGAAGGGGGCCAAAGGGACACTTCCCTGTGGGACACCAACTGTAATTGGTTGTGCAGAAGATTTTGCCCCATTTGCGTACACATATTGGCTTCTGTTGCTGAGTATGACTTGAGGTAGTTGAGGGAGTGCCCTCTTATACCATAGTGTGATAATTTTACGTGGAGCAAGTCAGGGTCAACTGTATCAAAAGCTTTACGTAAGTCAATGAAGATCCCCAGTGGACTTCTTTTTTTCCTATTGCAGTGTATATATGTTCAGCATGTGTAATAATAGCATCATTAGTATTTTTTATTAGGCCTGAATCCAAATTGGCAGGGGTTGAGTATGTTTTGGGAGATAAGGTAGAGTAGTTTCCCGTTTATGAATTAATTTTTCGAAGATTTTTGAGAGAGGGTGTAATTTGGGAAAATTGGCCTATAGTTATTCAACTTGTTTGGTCTCCTCCTTTGGGGATCGGGGTGACCCTTGCTATTTTGAGTACTGTAGGGAAGGTGGAGGATTAAATGGATTTTTTTAAAGAGTGTTGCAATGTTTGGGTGATAGCACTTGTGACACTTTTTTGTATATAAAGGGTGGTAAGGTATTTAAATCTCCTGCCTTGTTTTTTATGCGTTGATAATAAGGGAGACTTCGTATTTTAGTCGGAGCTAGGAACAGTGTGTTCGGGTAGTTGCCGGTGAGGTAGTCATTTGGTGGGGTATCTGAGCTTGGGATTTTATTGGCAAGGTTTTTTTCCTATAGTGGAGAAGAAATCATTGAGTCTTTTGCTGTTTCTGTTGGTGGGAGTTGGGGTCATCTGATTTTGCTAATTTTATTTCGCTATTTCTGATATCTTTTTTGTTCCCCAGAATTTCTGGGTAGGGTTTTCCAGGTCTTTTTTTATCACACCTCGTAAGTTGGATAATCTGTTTTTCATAATACAATTTTTTTTCCCTTCTTATCAAAGGGTGGTTAGGATTGACGATAACTTTTGTTTGGGCTCTGGTTTTGTGACCCATTCTGTACTGTTTTTCATATTGGTTGTTTTGTATTTATGGATTTGAGAAGCGGGTGTTAGCCAGGACTTTCAGTCTCTTAGGGTGTCAAACTGCTTAGTTTTTTAGGGCAGTGCTTGTTATAGAGGTATTGAGTCTTTTTTAGAAAATTATTAATACATTCGTCAATATCTGTATTGATTTCTAGCTCCCGTGTGCCAATCAATGTTTTGCTAATGCTGTTTGTGAAGTTATTAATGGCTGCCTCATTGTGAAGTCTGAAGGTGACTTTAGTAGTGTCTTGGGGGAATTTACCAAGAGTTGTTATGAGGAAAGTAGGGTAGTGGGTCTGTGGTATTATCTGTAATTATGCCTGAATTTTAAAGGGATATGGTGTTGGTCCAGAATAGGTCAAGTAGGAAACACTAGTCTCTGTAACTCTTGTAGGTTTTGTTACTGTTGGTAGCAACATACAGTTTCTCATTGTGTTTGTGAATTCAGTAACGTGTGGGGGCCTGGTCTTGCAGGAGATTTATATTGAAGTCACCTGAGATTTGTAAGTGATCCCTTTTTTCATGCGTGCATCAGTTATCATACTTCCTAGGTTTTGACTAAATTTGGGTAAAAGTTTGACTGTGGAACTCTGTAGATGTTTATCAATGTGAGAGGTTTTCCGTAGGTATTTGGATTTGAATTTGGCTATTATAAATTCCCCATGTTCATCTCTTGTGCAAGTATTAGTGATACATTCTATTGGTCTGAGTAGTATATGGCTGTCCACCCCCTTGTTGGTCTGGCCTACAGTTGTGTATGGCTGTGTAACCAGGAATGGTATAGACATCTGTAGTATCAGGCTTTAGCCAGGTTCAGTTAGTGTAATGATGGACATATTGGCATGTAAGGAATTTAGTAATGCAGAGGTCATCGTAATGCTTTCTTAAAGATCTGATATTGTAGTTAAAGATATTATGTTTTTTGTTGGCACTGAGAAGTGCCTTTTATTGTTCTGCAGTGTAGTAAAATTCAGTAACTGTTTGATTCATTTTAAATCATTAATAAGAGGTTGGTATCTGGATCAAGCTTGTAATCATAAAATTGTAGTGAATCTATAGTTAGAATTAAGTATAAAACAAGAAATAGTCTTAAGCTAAAAAATAGCACCTGAATTATTTAACAAATGTAAAATAATGACTAAGGAGTTTTTTTTTTTTTTTTTTTTTTTTTTTTTTTTTTTTTTTTAAACTAAAATAAAGGAGACAATATAAAAGGACTAGTACAATAAAGTGATGATCAAATAATGGAGCTTGGGAATATGATAGTAAAGGGAGTACTATAAAAAAAATGAGCTTTGGAATATAATGCAAAATTGTGAACTTGTTCTACTTTAGCACCTGAGAATACACCTTGATTTTTTTTAACAATTGTGAATGTATAACTAAGGTATTAAATAAAGCTAAAATAAAGGGGAAAAATATATAAGGACTAAAATTAAGTAATGGTAAACAAAGTTAAATGGACAGATGGTCCCCTATTAAATAATATTTTGGGTTTTGGAGTAAGATCTGATTTGTAATATTAGATAAATTGAGCAGTTATTGCACAATAAAAGTAAAAAAAATGAGGTAGTTGGTACTAGCTAGCAAAAGAAAAGTTTTGGTACTTGCAAAAAAGTAATTGGAATATACACTAATTGAATAAAACAATGTAAAGTGACTAAAAAAAACAAGTATTTTAAACAAAATTAAATGGACAGGGGAAGAAAAAATGAATATTATTAATTTGGAGTAAGATTTGACTTTTAATTTAAAATTATGGCAATTAATAGCAGAATTGATGAGGGAAAAGGTGAGTGGTGGCACGTCGGAGTCTGTGGAGAAAAAAGAACTTTGTCCTTGGAGGCAAAGAGGGGAAAAGTAGAGAGTATAGTTTTTACCAACGCTCTTATATGGGGGTGAAGCATGGGGAAAGAATGTTGCAGCGAGGGGAAGGCTGGAGGGAGTGGAGATGTCATGTCTGAGAGCAATGTGTGGTGTGAATATAATGCAGAGAATTTGTAGTTTGGAAGTTAGAGGAGGTGCGGGATTACCAAACTGTTGTCCAGAGGGCTGAGAAGGGTTGTTGAGGGGGTTCAGACAGTGGAGAGAATGGAGCGAAACAGAAGAACTTCAAGAGTGTATCAGTCTGTAGTGGAAGGAAGCGGGGTAGGGTCGGCCTAGGAAAGGTTGGAGGGAGGGGGTAAAGGAGGTTTTGTGTTTCGAGGGGCTTGGACTTCCAGCGGGCATGCGTGAGCGTGTTTTTATAGGATTTAATGGAGACAAATGGTTTTTAATACTTGACGTGCTGTTGGAGTGTGAGCAAAGTAACATTTATGAAGGGGTTCAGGGAAACCGGCAGGCCGGACTTGAGTCCTGGAGATGGGAAGTACAGTGCCTGGCACTCTGAAGGAGGGGTGTTAATGTTGCAGTTTAAAAAAACTGTAGTTAAAGCACCCTTCTGGGAAGACAGGATGGAGTGAATGATGGTGAAAGTTTTTCTTTTTCGGGCCACCCTGCCTTGGTGGGAATCGGCCAGTGTGATAATAAAAAAAAATAATAATCTTCCCCTTTTGCAACAACAGCACACTTCATTTCCTTTCCCTTTGCCACGATCGAAGTGATGGTTGAATGGGGTTTGCCATACATCCTGGCAAGCTCTGTAACACGCACTCCACTCTCATATTTTCAAGGATTTCTTTCTTAAATTTGATCATGTTTCTCACTTCAGGCCCATGGTGACTTATCAAGCAGTTGCAAGCACAAAAAAAACAATGAATTATTATGAAATGTATCTTATGAACCTTTGGGGTGATGGTCACTCGCTGGTAAACAATGGCACACTTGAGTGTGAATGGTGCCGGAGACTGGCTTTTTGTGCATGCTGACAGAGGACACGTACCAGATGGTCACCGAATCATGAGGCCAGTCATGAACTGCAAGGCTACATTTTGGTGAAGAAAGTTGCCGAAAGTAGGATTTCACAAAAGTCGCCGCCGCCGAGCGTCAGGGGTTCACTGTACATGCATTCAACTTATGTTTGTCTACTTCTATTTACTACTGTATAATTTAAACATATTTACACTATGCATAAACAAAGATTATGCTATTAGAATTCTTACACAGTGAGAATGAGTGAGTGTATGTGTGGGAGGAGGGGGGTTGGACTCCTCAAAACAAGGACTAAGGCCCAGTGATGTCTCACAAGACTTAGACATATCTTATATCTTTGTGTTGTAGAGGTCTTTCTATGGTATGAGCACACACACAGCATCTCTTTTGAGCCTTTATCTTCATTTTAGTGAGAGGAAATTTACCAGGTTTCAGAAAAGAGGGAATTTATTGGGTTTGGGAAATTAAATCTGTGGGTTGGGGGGGTTTAAGTAGTATAATGGATTTTCTGTTATCACCTTCTATCACTTCTGAAACCTATGGAACTTTACTTCAGAACCACTATTAGTATCCTTAGGTTAACTGTTAATATATTGTTAATTGTGGTGGAAGTAAGAGATTCACGTCTACATTCCATGACCGTAAATCTTTTTTCCTTTACAGAAATACACTTGCAGTGTCACCATTCAGGGATGTCAGCTTTAACAACCATTTTATGTAACCACATCCAAAGTTGGTCATGTGAAACATAAATAATGCTAAAAATGGAGTAAAAATTTACCAATCATCAGAAGTGCTTCAAACGACGGCGATTAGTGGACTGAAATTCATCCGGACATGAAATGTGTGCACATTACACGAAGATATCTTTATCAGTTTTCTGTTAACTTTTTCTTCATGCTGTTTGTATCACAGATATAAAATATTTGACTCTTGTTACTAAGAAGGTGAGGAATGTTGAAATACTTATTTGTTATAGTAAATTAGTTAATTTTTGAAACTTCAATGCCATTGCTAGTTTTATTGGTCAGTGTCATGTCAGTATATACATGCAAGGCCAAAGTAGAAGTAGAAAAATATTTCTGCATTGATATACATGTAAATCATTTAACTGTTTTGTGTGTTGGAGCCTCTTCATATGAACTTATTTTTGAAACAGTGGCATGTCTTTCTAAGAAGTAAGGTAAGTATTGTCTCTCCTATAAAATTTCTTCCCTTCAAAATTAAAATATCTCTGTTTTGTAAATATATTGCTGTACTTGTCTGTACACAACATTCTGCATTTTTTTTTTATGTTTCAAAGAAGTAAAACCTGATTTATTAGGAATCTAGACTTTTGAAACTTACTGGATGAAAGCATTTGCAGTATAAAATCTGCCCCTTGATTTGCAGTAGTCTGTTTAGCACTCCTGCAGAGCATAACAGTAAACCACTGCCAGACATAAGATGAAAACAAATTATATTAACTCACCCTTTTTTTTCTGTAAAGTTAGTAGGAGAAAGCTGCATCCTTGATATCCCAGCCATACCCCCATAGATCATACCACTCGTTCGATGATTGTGGCAATCATTAATACAGAGTAATTTCTTTCATTTGGAATAAATATGAAATAAAAAACATATTTAATGTTGCTAATTGTCTAACAACATTCTTATTCAAATGCCTCTTCTCTGTCCCTGAATAAATGTTCAAAACCAACCAAAAAATAGCTATTAATTATCTAATGTTGTTCTGTTTGCAGTTTCATAGACCACTTGACTCAGTATTTGATGGTAGTATAATGTAGTGAGGAAAGATACTGATTTTTTTCTGATACTGATACTTAGTTTTAGGCCAAAAACTGAATACTATTGCAGTTAGCCCATATTCCACCAATACTGATACTGGGGACACACCCTTAGTATAATGTCATAACAATTTTGGAATAATGTTGCTGATTTTCACTTATTTTTCAGTCTTTTTTGCTCTTTTTGAAGCTTCATGAAAATCCTCTCTATCAAAATCTTTCATTGTTTATTTAGACAAGGAACTCTATAAGTGTTTTGGTATTTTTAAAAATGCATGTCAAAAATTTCTTTTAGAGCATTAATACTATAACAAACCTAACAGGTGTATAATGTGTCCCCAATATTAGAAAATAATAATTCTCTCAGTAAATATGAGTGCTCTCTCAGAAAGAATCCAAATATATGTACAGTGTGCCAGAAAAACTTTTTCATGTAAATCCACTCTTTTGGCACATGGAAGAGTCATAGTGGAGAGAAACCTTACCAGTGCACAGAGTGTAAAAAAACCCTTTTCTTGTAAATCTATTTTATAACGCACATGAGAGTTCAAAAGGGGTGAAAACCTTTACCAATTTCAAAGTTCAAAATCTTTCTCGTGTAAATCTACCTGGTAGCACATGTGAAGTTCAACAGGAGAGAAACCTCATCACTGTTCAAATGCTCAAAAGCCTTACATGTAAGTCACACTGGTGTCCGCATATGCGAGTTCACACCGGAGAGAAACGTCATCTAAAGTGGCCGAAATTGGTTTGGAAAACCCCGTTTTCGCCAAAATTCGATAATTATTTAAAAAGCATATGAGGTACCAGGAAAAAACCTTATCATGTTAGTGTGAAAAATTTTTCAAAAGTCTATTTTAAAAACAACATATAAATTCCATCAGGGAAAAAGCCATTTTCTTTTTCAGTGGGGTTCAAATATTTTAAAAAATCTAATCATAACCAATGAGGTTCACAGGAGAAAACCCCTTTTAATTCCCATTGTCTTGAAAGCTTTTCAAAAACAAATTATGTCAATGAAGTTCAACAGGAGAAAACCTTATTTCCCCATTTAAACTTAAAAAGTTTCACAGACAAAATTCAAGTGGGATCCTAGGAGTTCAATAAAAAAATTTTAACATTTTCTTGTTTTAAAATATTTAAAAAAGAATGTTAAAAAAGGCCACCTGACTTCACCAGTGGGAAGAAATGAGTTCGGTGATTAAAAATTCTAACATAACTTCGTTTAAATATTAAATATTAAGATAAATTTAAAATTTTGGGTCCCAAAATGTGAATCGAGTTTTGTTTATCTTCAGCCAAATGAGGAATAATGAGTTAAATCTTGATAAAAACTCATAAGATAACCAATCATTTTAATTAAAATTTCCTAAAAATATTAAATATATTTTTTTATTAGAACTTGGGTTTTCAAGGGGGGACCGGTGGTTTCGGGGAGTGTTTTTAAGTCTTTAATTCAAAAACATTTGGGAACCTATCAGGCCACCAATTCTACCTTCGTAAAACTCCTGGTTGCCATACTCAAAAGGGCTGGGGGATGAGTTTATCCTAAAGGAAATAGCCCGTGTAAATGGATGTTCAGTTAATTTAACAAAAAGCTATCAGACATTGAAAAACAGGAAATTAGCATCTCAGTCAAAAACAGGTCAAAGAAAAGTTGAATGTGACAGCATATTAACTTTTTATAAATGCGTTCCACTAAAAAACCTACAAAGAATTAGATATTGAAAAAAATGTAGAACTAATTCGTATGTCACACAGGGAAAATAATCAACACTGATGAATTCTCCTCAGATTCCCTTGTTCTGTAATATATACAGACTTTGAAAAAGCCTTCGACAAGTGTGACCATGGCTAATAGCGCACAAAATGCGTGCTAAAGGAATAACAGGAAAAGTCGGTCGATGGTTTCTATAATTTCCTCACTAACAGAACACAGAGAGTGTCGTCAACAGAGTAAAGTCCGAGGCAGCTACGTGTGAAAAGCTCGTTCCACAAGGCACATTTACTCGCTCCCATCTTGTTCCTCATCTTATATCCGACATAGACAAGGATGTCAGCCACAGCCCCGTGTCTTCCTTTGCAGATGACACCCGAATCTGCATGACAGTGTCTTCCCATTGCAGACACTGCAAAGCTCCAGGCAGACATCAACCAAATCTTCAGTGGGCTGCAAAAAACAATATGAAGTTAAACGATGAGAAATTTCAATTACTCAATATGGTAAAATGAGGAAATTAAATCTTCATCAGAGTACAAAAACAAATTCGGGCCACAAATAAGCGAAACACCAACGTCAAAGACCTGGAGTGATCATGTCGGAGGATCTCACCTTCAAGGACCATAACATTGTATCAATCGCATCTCTAGAAAAATGACAGGATGATAATAGAACCTTCAAAACAGGGAGGCCAAGCCCATGATAACCACTTCAGTCACTTGTTTCTATCTAGGCTGGAAATTGCTGCACACCCAACAGCACCTTCAAGGTCAGGTGAAATTGCCGACCTAGAAAATGTACAGAGAACTTTCACGGCGCGCATAACGGGGATAAAACACCTCAATTATTTGGGGAGCGCTTGAGGTTCCTAAACCTGTATTCCCTGGAACGCAGGAGGGGGAGATACATGATTATATACCCCTGGAAAATCCTAGAGGGACTAGTACCGAACTTGCACACGAAAATCACCCACTACGAAAGCAAAAGACTTTGGCAGACGATGCCACCATCCCCCCAATGAAAAAGCAGGGTGTCACTAGCACGTTAATGAGACCATACAAAATGTCAGGGGCCCGAGACTGTTCAACTGCCTCCCAGCACACATAAGGGGGATTACCAACAGACCCCTGGCAGTCTTCAAGCTGGCACTGACAAGCACCTAAAGTCGTTCCGGATCAGCCGGGCTGTGGCTCGTATGTTGGTTTGCGTGCAGCCAGCAGCAACAGCCTGGTTGATCAGGCTCTGATCCACCAGGGGGCCTGGGCTCAGACCGGGCCGCGGGGCGTTGACCCCCGGAACTCTCTCCAGGTAACTCCAGGGAACTCTCTAGGCTGGAATATTGCTGTACACTAACAGTGCCTTTTAAGGCAGGTGAAATTTTGGACCCGGAGAATATACAGAGAACTTTCACAGCACACATAATATGTTAAAAATACATAAATTACTAGGAACGGTTGAAGTTCCTTGATTTGTATTTTGTGGAATGCAGGCAAGAAAAGATACATGATAATAAACACTTGGAAAATCCTAGAAGGATTAGTACCAATTTCCACATGAAAAATCACTCCCTATGAAAGAAAAAGACTCAATAAAAAGCAAGGGTGCCATGAGTACGCTAAGAGACAGCACAATAAGTATCGGGGCCCAAACTGTTCAACTGATCCCAACATACAATAAGGGGGATTACCAATAGAGCCATCATCCCAGGCTGTCTTCAAGAAGGCGCTGGACAGGCACCTAAAGTTAGTTCCTGACGCGCCAGGCTGTGGTTTGTACATCAGTTTTTGCGTGTGGCTAGCAGTAACAGCCTGGTTGATCAGGCCCCGATCCACCACAAGGCCTGGTCACAAAACTGGGGCCGCAGGACGTTGACTCCCCTAAACCTTCTTCAGGTCTATTCCAGGTATACTGTGAGATTTACCAGTATAGAGCAGAAACTAAAACATTATACCAAATGAAGACTTGTAAAAGGAACAAGAAATCATTTAGGGATTAGAATATTTTTTTTTAAGATGTTTATACGCAAAGTGTTAAATCCATATAGGAAAAATCACTTCTAGAATTGGCTCACTGCTCACGAAGAGAAAGAAAGAGCAAAATTTTGAAAGACCAGTATGAAACAGTGTTCAGCAATCCATTAAATGACAAAAGTTGAAGACCCAAATAGTTTTTTATTACGTCTTCCCACCCTACAAACCATATATCTAACATAAACACAAATCCCTCAGAATTAAAAAAGGAAATGTGAAATATGTCTGCAGCCAGCAGCAACAGCCTGGTTGATCAGGCTCTGATCCACCAGGAGGCCTGGTCACAGACTGGGCCGCGGGGGGCGTTGACCCCCGGAACTCTCTCCAGGTAAACTCCAGGTAAACATGCACTTGGACCTGATTGATGGGGTTTTTTATAAAGATGTGCAAAATACCAATACCACAGGGCTTTCAGTATTCTTTGTAGAGAGGGGCTTAATCTAGCATTTAACTTCATTATATTATTATTAAATCTAAGTAAAAATCCCAGATTTTTTGCACCCATAGCTCCTCTGTACGAAGGCAGTACTGGAGCTCAATCAATAAACTGCTGACTGGCAGTGCTGACTTCATACTCAAAAATCTTGAAAAAAAAAAAAAGCAGGGTGGTGAGATGCCAAATTATAAATTTTATAGAAAAGCATGAATTCTGTACACAACCCAAGTGAACATAGATTTAGAGCAGGAAGAACTTACTTTTCATAACTACAAGATCATTATGAGATAATTTCAGGGGCTTGGGAAGAAATGAAACACAGATGTAATCTATACAGACGTTGCTAAGGCATTTGATGACTGTAATACTGGGGTGAGAGGCAATAAAATTTGGTCAATAGATATAACAGGTGAGGCAAGAAAAAGATATTCAGTTTTCTAATGAATAAATCAAGAGAGAGTTGTAACAGTAAACAGAGTAAATTCTAGCCAT